GGAACTCATACAACTGAATAACCAAAAAATCTGATTTTAAAAATGGGCAGAGGAACTGAATAGTTATCTTCCAAAGATATACAAAAGGCCATCAGGTACATGAAAAGTTGCTCAACATCATTAATCATCAGGAAAATGAAAATCAAAACTACAATGAGATACCACCTCATACATGTTAGAATAGCTATTCTAAAAATACAAGTGATAACAAATGCTGGCAGGGATGTATGGAAAAGGGAACCCATGTTCATGGATCAGCAGAATTAATATTGTTTAAATAGCCATACTACCCAAAGCCATCTACAGATCCAACACAATCCCCATCAAAATAACAAAGGCATTCTTCACAGACGTAGAAGAAACCATCCTAAATTTTGTGTGGAACAACAAAAGACCTTGAAGAGCCAAAGCAATGCTGAGAAAAAAGAACAAAACCAGATGTATCACACTCTCTGATTTCAAACTACATTGCACAGCCATAGTAATAAAACAGTATAATATACACTGGCACAAAAATTGACACATAGACCCATGGAAAAGAATAGAGAGCTCAGAATTCAATCCTGGCATATATGGTCAACTAATATTCAACAAGGGAGCCAAGAATACCCTATGGGGGAAAGGACAGTCTCTTCAGCAAATGGTGCTAGAAAAACTGTAGAAATACATGCAGAACAATGAAATTGAACCCCTATCTCACCTCAGTCACAAAAATTAACTCAAAATGGATCAAAGATTTAAACATAAGACTAGATACCATAAAACTCCTGTAGAAAACATAGGGAAGAAGCTCATCGATGTCGGTCTTGACAAGGATTTTTTGAACATAACACCAAAAGCACAAACATCAAAAGCAAAAATTAACACATGGGACCACACCAAACACAAATCTTCTGCATAGCCAAGACACTACTAACAAAATGAAAAGGCAGCCTTCAGAATGGAAGAAAATTTTTGCAAGTCATATATTGGGTAAGGGTTAATATCCAAAATATATAAAGAACTAACATAATAACAACAACAAAAAAGCTTTTATTTTAAAATGGGCAGAAGAACTAAATAGTCATTGCTCCAAAGAGGATGTCAAAATGGCCAACAGCATATGAGAAGGTGCTCAACATCACTAATCATCAAAAAATGCAATTCAAAACAACTATAAGAGGGACTTCCCTAGCAGTGCAGTGGTTAAGACTCTGCACTTCCAATGCAGGAGGTGTGGGTTCGATCCCTGGTGGGGGAACTAAGATCCCACATGCTGCACGGTGTGGCCAAAAAAAAAAAAAGGATCGGTTAACAAAACAACTCACCTCACACCTTTTAGAATGGCTATCATGAGGAAGACAAGTGACCACAGGTGCTGAAGAGGATGTGGTGAAAAGGAAACTCTTATACACTGTTGATGGGAATGTAAATTGGTCCAACCACTGTGGAAAACAATATGGAAGTTCCTCAAAAAATTAAAAATAGACCTACTACACAATCCAGCAATTCCAATACTCCTGGGAATATACCCAAAGGAAATGAAAACCCAAAGATGTGATATATACACAATGTAGTATTATTTAGCCATGAGAAAGGAGGATATCCGGCTTTCTTGTGACAACATGGATGGACCTTAAGCACATTTTGCTAAGTGAGATAAGCCAGACAGAGAAAGACAAGTAGATGTTACATAATATCACTTATATGTGGAATGTAAAAAAAAAAAAAGTAAACCAGTGGTTAACAGGGGATGGGGGGATACAGGGATAAGATTTAGGATGTTTAAGAGCACAAACTTGTAACGAGTACTAACATAGCCATAGAGATTTAATGTAAAGTTTATTAAACATAGACAGTAATATTGTACTATAAGTATGTACTGTGAAATGGGTGGAAGGAACCAAAAGGTATAAACTTCCAGTTGTAAGATAAATACAATCTGGGGATGTAATGTACAGCATGGTGACAAATATACAATATACTACAGTCAAATCTACAGTACTATATTGTATATTTGAAAGTTACAAGGAGATAGGATTTAAAAGTTCTGTCAAAAGGGAAAAAATGGTAACTGTGAGGTGATAGATATTAACATATAGTGGTAATTATTTCAAAATATATATCGAACTATGTTGCATAGCTAAAACTAAAATGTTACATGTCAGTTACATCTCAATAAAAAATTAAAATTTTTAAATGTATATTATTTCCTTTCTTCTGCTTGCTTTGGGTTTAATGTGCTCTTCTTTTGGCTTCTTAAGATAGAAACTAAGGTCACTGATCCGAAATCTTTTCTAATACAGACTTTTAGTGCTGTAAATTTTTTTCTAGATATTGTTTTAGTAGCATCTCATAAATTTTGATATGGGATGATTTCTTTTTAATTCAGTTTGAAATATTTCCTGTTCCCTTTTGATTTCTTCTCTGATCCATAGGCTACTTTTAAATGTATTATTTAGTTTGCAAATATTTGGGGACTTTAAGAATTTTCCTGTTGTTGAGTTCTAATTTAATTCCATTGTGATCAGAGAATATACTTTGTATGACATAACTCTTTCAAATTTATTGGGACTTATTTCATGGCACAGAATATGGTTCATCTTGGTAGATGTTCCTTGAACACTTGAGAAGAATGTTTATTCTGCTGTTATTGGGTAGAATGTTCTATAAATGTCAATTAGGTCTGGTTGTTTGATAGTATTGTTCAGGTCTTCTATATTCTTCTTGATTTCCTGTCTATTCTATGAATTATTAAAAACATACCATAGGAATTTATGAGAAGACAGAGTGTATAAGTGATGGGCCCTTCATTGCTCCCTCAGGCCACCATGTCAGAACACCCACCAGAAGAGACCCTTGACTGCCCTCCCCTGTCAATTCTATACAATAGATTGTATCCCCCATTGCAAACACCTAGCTAACAGACATAACCATTTATCATCTCATTTTCTCTTCATCCTGCCCTTTAAGTTTGACAGTCAGTTCTGCGTACCTGCAGTTCTGATTACACACCTGGGCTACATCACTTTTAGCTATGCTTTCACCTGGTCCTGCAGGCTGGAATGAAAATAAAGAGGAACTCCCAATTGCTTGACTCCAATTAGAAGGTTTCTACTGTAACTGTGAATTCTTTCCAGTTAACTCAGCAAGTGTTGGTTAAGCAAGTGTATATACTGTGTGCAATACCCGGTTCTGAGCTTAGGTTTTAATCTTGGACCAATAAACGGGGATTGACTACATATTCAGTGAGGGTCTGATTGCAGGGGAGGTGAAGGAGGAAAGAAATAGTGTTGATAGCAAGAGGAGCCCAACTTCCACAAAAGGGAAACCCACATTCCCTCAAGAAGAACATAGCAGCTGGGGAACATTGCCCCTCCGCATTTTGGATCAAGGCAGTGCCTTGGCAGGTGGGACTTCTAAGTCTTCCCCACAGAATAATCTTTAGAGATCCCCTCTTTGCTTTCAACACAGGCAACTGAATAAAATTCTGCCCACTTCTGACAATAATTACCTCCAGATTATTCAACAGAATTGATACGCAAAGAACAATTACTACTAAGTTGCCTTCTTAGCAGTAGTCCCATGCTTTGGAGGTGGGACAGTTGGTCGAGAAGCAGCCATGTGCCATTCAATGACAAGTTTATATGGCATTAGTCTCTGAAGTTCAATTAGAAAAACTGAACAGAGTCTAGAATGAGCACAGGCTGCATACAAGAAACAGCTCGATACTTTGTTTACAGGTCAGAACATTAAGTATTTAGTTGTCCCAGAGCCAGCACAGAATAATTACACTCAACATCTTTCCACTTTCCCTTCTTCTTTTCCTCATGGTCTTGGGGAGCAGGAGAGTCCTTAGCATGTGAAGGGGAAGGGGGATCCCTCTGCAGTCATATAAATTCTTTCATTTGATGGGAAAAAATCAGAGAAGCAGGCCACGGTGCGTCCAGAATGTCCTGCTTGGGGCCCAATGAAGAGGGGAGAGCCAGCCCTGCTTTGTGTGCTCACCTGAAGACAAGATAACCTTTCGCCCCCAAAATTGTTTAGTGGGAACACACCAGCTGACGCCCCTCTTTACTGCTTACGTAGCTGTTTCCAAATGGCCAGTAGTATAAGAAGGCTTGTTATGAGTCAATTCTAACTTCCTCTCTATCTGTAAAATATTTTATGCGAAGGAAAGTATTCCCCCAGACTTCAAACAAGAAAAAAAACTGCAAATATCTATCTCCCCAAGAATTGCTTATGTAATACTGCATTTTCTGGTCCAGAGAGAGATACTTAACTGGATTTTGACAAACCAGCTTCTAGTTTGTTTCCTTCCTATTAGCAGAATAATGTAGAAGACCTTTGAACACCAGTTTCTATATCAGATTTATAAGCAGCAAGGATATCTATAAAATGTTGATTTTAAAATTGGCATGGCCTCTGTTATACGGAAAAAATATATTTGGGGAGTCAGGAAGTTTAGAAGATGGAGAAAGTTTACTGACAGTAACTTAACAAGTACTACATTACTTAACAAAAATCTTGGCAATCATCCATCCATCCATTGATACTATTGATTTTTCTCTATTATGGAAATGGGCTGAAAAACATGATAATCAGCATTGTAATATTGTTGGGATAAAGAAAGGGAGTGGTCCTAGAAATAGGCCCTACTTGTTTACCTTAAAGTATTTCTTCTGATACAAAAGAAACTTAACAGTGGTTACCTCTGGGAAACAGCACTAGGAATTTAGGAAAATGTGGATTAGAAGGAGGGAAATTTTTACTTTTCATTTTATAAACTTCTGAACTGCTTAATGTTGCCCATGAATTACTTTACTTGTAAAAATACAAATGAGGTAGAGCTGTAAGTTTTGAAATGGTAAAGATCTGTAAATTAAGTGAAGTCAGTACATCATATTCATTTAAAAATAGTTATATTAATGTGTATATACATGTAAGTTTACATATATATTTACAGTATCTAAATGTACCAAAAATATCTATAAAAAACACCATAACTTGGTAGTACTTACCTCTGGGGATGAGAGTAAGATGAGGAGTAAGGTATTAGTCTACATTCCTCATCATTTGGCTTTTCACAAGTGCATTTCCTAATGTTTATCTTTTTATTTTTTTTTTATTATTTTTGGCTGCGTTGGGTCTTCGTTGCTGCACGCAGGCTTTCTCTATTTGTGGTGAGCAGGGGCTACTCTTTGTTGTGGTGCGCGGGTTTCTCATTGCGGTGGCTTCTCTTGTTGCAGAGCACAGGTTTTAGGTACGTGGGCTTCAGTAGTTGTGGCTCGTGGGCTCTCAAATGCAGGCTCAGTAGTTGTGGCGCATGGGCTTAGTTGCTCTGCGGCATGCGGGATCTTCCCGGACCAGGGCTTGAACCCGTGTCCCCTGCATCAGCAGGTGGATTCTTAACCACTGCACCACCAGGGAAGTCCCCATAATGTTTAAATTAATAAGATGAGGACAGTTTTTATAAAATCTTTTTTCCCCTCCTTGGAAGTTCTTCTCCTTCTCCTAGTAACAGCACCCTGCTGGACCTGCACCTATCCCATTTTGTCTGTTTCTGGTGGGTTTCCAACCACAGGCTCCACCCACCTGAGTTAAAGTCAGGGGTGAGCACATGACCCAAGATAGGCCAACCAGCTCATCTCGCTCAGGAATTTGAATCTTGAGCAGAAACACATGGGGACTGGAGGTACCTGTAAATGAGTCATCCAAAGACAGCGTCTTCAAAGGCTACCCATGTGTATCTGAGGCTGTGAATCAACAAGTTTCCTGGGCTCCTATCCTCCTTACTTCTGGTTTATCAATTCTTCATTTCTGTGTCCTTTCAGTAAATTCCTTAGAAAAAAAAAAAAAAAAGCAAATGGAGAGATAGTAACAAATTTATTGAAAATAATAAATTCAGGAGTTATTATTTAACCATTGAGTCCATGGTTCCTATAAGACATTCAGGTGGAAATGTCTAATAGACTGTTGGAAATGCGGGCTTGGAACTCAGCAGAGAATAAGAATTCTTGGCAGAGATTTAAGAGGTATGAGTGTGCAAGCCAAAGTAAGTGATTCAAGAGAGACAAGACAGCAGAGTCAAGGATGGGATTGTGGGAAATACCTCCACCTGAGGAGGGGGGAAGGAATATCAGAACTGCCATTTGCCCACCATGGTTAATACCACCATAATACCATGGTATCTGGGGAGGCCCGCCATACTCAGTCCTGAGACCTTGAAGATGATTTTTTGTGCATACCTACCCACTGGGCATTGTCACATGGTTGCAATGTGACTGCACGTGCATGACATATAGTCATTATCATATAACATATAGACAGTATACCCAGGTGACTGAATAAGAAATTGTACCCAGGACAAGATGTTAAATCAGATAGTGTGGACCATGAAAAGAGGCTTTGCACCCATTTAAGGTAAAACAACATATGAGTTTCTCAGGGACCTCTTCTGCCATCACCATAAAAACCCACATTTCACGACAGAGTTGGGGCCCTCAAGAGAAATAGAACTGGAGAGCATCTAATGTTTTCCTTTGGAGGTCCCATCCAGGGCACCTGACATCTGGTGATCTAGCACCCCTGCCAATGAACACTAGAAAAGGCCCAGGTGGAGCAGATCACTCATAACAGCCTCCTGCCGAAACATGCCCTTAGAAATGAGAGGTCACAAACTAATGGTCGTCAAGCCCAGTAGTTCTGAACCTTAACTGCACTTTGGAATCACCTGGGACATTTTGAAAACTACTGATGACTCATCCTGCCTCCCAAGATTCTGACTTAATTGGCTGGGGGTGTGATTTGGTATCAGCACTTTTAAAAGCTCCCCAGGTGACCCTAACCTGCAGCCAAGGTTTAGAACCCCGAATGAGCCCTTAAATGTTTTGTTTGACTTGCATTATACTGACCTATACAGTATTTTTAAATTCTTTTTCAAAAATTAAAAATTAGTCAATTTTCATAGAAAACAAACTTATGATTACCAAAGGGGAAAGAGTGGGGGGATAAATTAGGAGTATGGGATTAACAGATACACACTAGTATACATAAACAACAAGGATTTACTGTATAACACAGGGAACTATATTCAATATCTTATAATAACCTATAATGGAAAATAATCTGAAAAAATATATATATATATAATTGAATCACTTTGCTGTACACCTGAAACTAACACAATATTCTAAATCAACTATACTCCAATTAAAAAAAGGAAAAAAATTAGTCAATTTTATATACCCAAATCACCCAAGATGGTGGTCTTCTGTTGGAATATCTGTACACAGTAGGCCTGCATTCCCAAGGGATGCTATTCAGCCGTCCTGAGTTGCAGCCACACCTTATATCAACATTTTCTCTGCGTTCCACAATCCTCCCCAGCCCACCCCACTATCACCACAGCACAGAGCCCATGACAGTTGCTGCTTATCATCCTGCTTGTGCTGTGGGTTTCTCACATCAGTGTTGAGAAAAGTGAAATCGTGCTTATGCCTGTGTCTCCAGCAGCACAGGAAATAGAAAGGCACTCCAAGATGGCCATGTGTTCCATAGGGCCTGCGGCTCATTTCCAGTAACTGCCTGGCCCCTACGGCATTTGGGTGTGTGCCCTCCATTGAAATCTCTGTTTTCCCAGCAGGAGAACCAACGTGCCTCATAGCCTATGGAGCAAAAACCTGAGAAGTGAGAGATCCCACCTCTCATTATTTTAATAATTAGATACCTCTCTAATACAAAAGGAAGTTACATAAAAACAGTAAGAAAGGAGGAGCACGCAATGGCACCAGAGAGCAAGTTCCAGAATTAAGGAAATGCAGGAAGTTTATATCCTTTATAGGGGACACAGGGGGCTGGAGCCGAACCTGACCTGTGAGGGGAGAATGGGGAGCTGCTATTTAACAGGTATAAGTGTCCCCTACGCAAGATAAGTTCTAGAGACCTGCTGTGCCTACAGTTAACGATACTCTATCGTGAGACTTCCTGGCGGTCCAGTGGTTAAGACTCTGCGCTCCCAATGCAGGGGCGTGGGAGCGATCCCTGGTCGGGGAACCAAGATCCCGCATGCCACACAGCACGGCCAAAAATAAAAAATATATATATAAAAAATATATATATACTGTATCGTGCACTTAAACTTTGTCAAGAGGGTGGATCTCCTGTTAAATGTTCTTACAAGATTTCAGGAACTATGAACCTGGAGTGGGACAGACCTTCATCCTCGTGAATACTGGAGCCAGCCTTTGACAATCCAGAGGTGAAATAGAGGGACGACTGTGGCCCGGGGGCCAGAGGGCTCAATCAATGTCAACATTTAGGAATGATTTGGAGGACGAGAGATAAAACAAGGAAGGGAAAAGGGCGTTCGTGTTACATCCCAAGCCTGGCCTGAAAAGAGCAAAGTAGAGGTGCGAGATCATGAGACCTTAAGGACCCAGGTGTGAGTCCCAGCTCAGACACTTCCTAGCTGGAGGATTTGGGCCTATGAATTAGCCTCTGAGCCTTGGTCTGTAATGGAGACAATAATGGTACACTCAGTATGGCTGTTAGGAGAATTAGGTGAGATAGTAGACATAAACTACTTAGCACAGGGCCTAGTGATGGTAGCCATGCAGAAAGTACATTCAGTCTACATTCTCAACTCTAGAGCACTGAGGAAAAGGCTTCCTCTGAGCTCTGGTCCAGGGTCTCACGTGAAGTTGTAGTCTGTTGGCAAACCCCTTTCCTCACTGGCTTTTGACTGGATAACTCAGCTCCTGGCCATGTAGGCCTCTTCATATGCTGCCTGACTGTCCTCAAAGTATGGCCACCAGTTTCCCCTAGAGTGAGTGATCAGAAAGTGAGTCCAAGAAGCAAGTCACAGTCTTCTAAGACCTAATCTCAGGCATGACATTCCTCACTTCTGCCACATCCTATCGCTCACACAGACTAACTCTGGTACAATGCGGTACAATGTGGAAGGAAACACACAAGAGTGTGAATACCAGGGGGGATCCTTGGAGGGCCATCTGGGGCTGCCCACTACACTTCCTCTCCGTCTTCCTTGCTTTATTTTTCTCCATACCACCTATCACCAACTGACACATTATTTAACTTATTTGGTTTATCGTCAGTTTCTCCACAATAGAATACAAGACGGAAGAGATTTTTGCCTGTTTTGCTCACCGTTGTATCATCAGCCCCTAAAACAGTGCCGGCACACAGTGGGGCTTTATTAAACATTTGTTAAATGGTGAATAGTGGGCCACCCAGCTGCACCATTTCTACAAGAAATGAGCCTGAGTTCCCACCCAGGACATCACTGCTCATAGGTCCTACCCCCACTTCTTAAAAAAATTCTAGTACGTGATTCTCACAATTTTATTCGTGAGGCAGTTGAAATCCAGGGAGATTAAGGGTCTTCTTGCCCAGGGTCAGCAAATGGTGCTGTGGATCTAGGACCCGTTGCCTTGCCCTTGACCTGAGCACTCCCCGTCTCCCAGGGCCTACCTACAGCCCGGTGCAGCATATGACCTTACTGACAAGTCATGATTCACACAGGTTGGTTCACTAATATGATAATTCAGAGTGCTTCCTATAATTAATAGCTTGTGTATATTAGTTCGTATGGCTTCCACTCAGGTAGCGAGGTACTGCGGGAATGAGAAGCGGAGTTAAAGAGCTTGGAGAGAAGGCGCTCACCAAGTGCTCTGACTCAGTTCTCCTTTTCCCTGGAGGTAATGTCATTTCACTCCAGAGAGAGCCTTAAGTCCAGGCTGCACCCGTCAGTGTTCTATACTTGGGGAATGGGGAGCAGTTGTCCCCACAGATGGGAGAGGGTTCTATCACCTCAGGATGAACCAGTTCTGAACCACTACCCCATGCAAAAAAAAAAAAAAATTACCACACATTTAGCAGCTTAAAAAAATAGAAAAGAAAAAGAAGACAGAAACCATAACATAACCCCTTCCCCAGTCCCAGGGCCCCATGCGCGCAGGCCCCTTTGCTGGACGATGGAGTCCCGGGGTGTCCCATGGAGGGAGCTGGGCTAGTCTGAGAGTGGCTTCCTAGGTAATCCCTTGTCTCCTCCTTCAGGGAGGGGGCCTGGGACCACAAAAGCCCCTTTCCCCTCAAATCCTACCAAAGTATTAAAATATGTTAACAATACACACGTATG